TCCTGATTTATTCTTGGCAAAATAATTGAAGATCCTGGTTCTGGTCACAAACCAGTCATTGCTAGTATGTAACCTACAGGAGGAAATGGATAAGACCCACCTGATTCGGTGTCCAGCCCTAAAGACAAGTATGGAAAGCCAAAGATACTGGGAAGCAAGAAGACAGCTAATGAATTGCCATTGATTAACTGCTATAAATGTACCCCCCCCCCTTCTTGGGGGAAGCTGAAGTCAAAGATTAAGGGCTAATGATAAATATCATAAAGCCTGCCATTTGAAATAAATAAATGTTCAGAAATTGCGTAATTAAAGCTTGAAATTCAAACTACTGGAGTTTGAATAAAAAGAGTCGCATTGTATATTTTACCGAAATGGAGACAATTTTCGCAAATATATACTATAATACTAATAAAGTGCTTTGTCAATAACCGTCAAATTATCAATAATTTGGGAGATCGTAAAATGCGATTAAAAGTAGTGATTTCACAACGGCTCAAGAAGCCCGTTTGGGTTGGTGTTAAGAAAGTGTTGACAAGTTGAAATCGTGTGGTCGAAAGGAAATAGAACCAAACTAGCGAAGAACTAAATCCAATTAGAAAAGAATTGCTATAACCTCGACCGAGGTAGGCAGAAAGCTTCAGAATCTCCACATGCAAACGTAAAAAGAAAAAGAAATACTTATTGGAGAGGGGAAGAGGGGGTAGGTGGGCGTCCGATCTGAGCAAGTAGAAACTGGATCGTGGAAAAAAGCCGCTGGTGAACTACTTTTGCAATTATTGTTCCGGAGAGTAGTTCATGAAAAAAAACAACATTGTCTGGCAGTTAGAACGCGCAGACGTGGAGTCACTATACGTCCGCACTGGACTGATTCGGGCTCTAAAATTACTGCCACTCAGCAAGTTATTGGACATCTTTTGTAATAATAAAAATTCATCACTGAGTTGCTACTTTCCTTGTTCACAAGCCTGATAAATGAACGGTAAAGTCGTCATTGATAAGATGTTCATTAGTTAATAGGTTAATGACTCAAATAACCACAAGGAGAATGTCGAGTAAGACCCAGTCAAGACATGAAAGAGGGATTTTGGTCCTGAATTCCGTTTCATGTCATCTCATGGAGATCACTTTGGGTCAGTCTTGGACTATCCAACTTCCTAATGGGGTGAAATATCATTTGAGGCATTTCAGAGGAAAATTGTGGCATTTTTATAGTGACGCTGTCAACACATGTAAAAGAGTATCAATTCGAATATTGTCTAAACATTGCAAAAAGCGAAGAGATAAAAATTTATAAGAGTCATTGTTATCTTCTAATCAGGATGTTGCGATAAAAATTATTTTTAAATCTATTGTTGTATTGAAATTTCGCTCATAAAATTATTTAATAAGAACTTTACTTTGAAACGAATTAATCGGATAATAGGATAATAACTATTCCATTTTGATTGACACACAGCGAAGGAACTAATCCACCTATTAAGCTATTTGGAAAGGATATTATTTGATACAAATATTTTCTATTGTGCGCAAATACTACGCTACATTTCGGAATTTATGTTTATATCCCCAATAGGATCAAATTACAAGTAAAGATCATTCTCGTGGGAAAGAAAACCTTTAAAATGTTCACCTTTTGAAAAGCCATATCATTTTGCTCCCTTATTTCATTTGAAAATAATTATAAAAATAGCAGCAATTCAGAAAACGCACTGACTACTTCTATACCCCGTGGGTAAATATAGTATTAGAGAAACGCTAAGGGTTGTCTAAATTTAGCCGAAATATGTTTGATACTGAACGAATAGACATTGGTCAATTAACGTAGCCAATCAGCGCTGAGAATTTACTTAAGAACGCATTGGCATCGATCAATGACCCTGCCCCAACGCGTTCTCATTAGCCAATGAGCACGAATAGAGGTATAAAATCTTCCCAAGTTCTCGTTTTCTCATTTTTGAGCTTGCCATGTCCATGCAAGCTTACCTCACCCGTCTTCTTATAGTCGGGCTGTGTGTCGGATTAATTTCAGCCCGAATCCGCACGAATCAATGGCTAGTACGCCTTCAAACAGATGGCCAAGAGGGCCGAGATGTCATGAAATCTCGAGCTAAACGAATTGCGGAGGAACAGGGTTTCAGAACTTTGCTGGAAGACCATGATTCCTTCTTCTACCCAAATGAATTTCTCTTCATGCATCCGAATATGAAAGAGACAAGCAAAGAAATTCACGATACTCTTGTTGGTCATCCGAGTATTGAAAGTGCGGAACAGCTGAATGGTTATCGACGCAATAAACGCGGGTACAAGGACATTGAATTAGTAGAAGATGATCAAACAGAACGAACTCCTGATGAAAATAAGAAGAATCTTGTAAGAGAACTGGCGTCAGACCCACTCTTCCCTAAAGAATGGTACATCCACAATACTGGACAAGCTGAAGGTACTCCTGGTTTGGATCTGAATGTCTTGGACGCTTGGGCTCAAAATATTACTGGAAGAGGGGTGGTAACTGGAATTATGGATGATGGTATCGATTACTTGCACCAAGATCTTGCTCCAAACTATGCCGCGGAAGCTAGCTATGATTTCTCAAGTAACGACGCTCATCCCTACCCAAGATACACGGACGATTGGTTCAACTCCCATGGGACTCGTTGTGCTGGTGAAATTGCTGCTGTTGGTGGAAATGGTGTTTGTGGGGTTGGTGTAGCCCCTGGGTCTCGTGTAGCCGGACTTAGAATGCTCGATCAGCCATACATGACGGATCTCATTGAAGCTGCCGCAATGTCTCAAGCTAGGGATATCATTGATATCTACTCGGCTAGTTGGGGACCTACCGATAACGGAAAAACTGTCGACGGTCCTAGAAATCATACTATGCAGGTTAATACTTACGAATATTTATTTATTTATATCAACTGGCAGGTGTCTTGATGGTTATCATTAGCCCTTTAGTTGACTTCAGGCTTCACAGAGAGAGAGAGAGGAGGAACATCAAATGGAAAAAAGTCAAGAGGGGGGGGGCAGAAGAGGGTTTCAAAGATGTAAAAGAAGCCGACACAAAGGTAGAAAAAAAGGTGAGGTGAGTGCTGTAGAAGTAGTCGAATATGGCATGCAGTGGGGTGATGGTAGTTTGAAGTGAGAAGTCAACTGCCGGTTAATAGACTTTTTTGCCGTATGAGTATATGTTGCCATGGTGCACCACGAATATCAATATTAATGACAAAAAAGTTACTGCCTGATAATCTATGTAATTTATAATTCGCATTATAATTAATGATATATTTTTGTAAAACACACTCCCAAAAAGTAGGTAGCAATTCATTTTAGAGGATCATTTAAGCAATTTGAAATGGGTTGCTTAATCTTCGCTTATTTGATGCTATGTATATTTAACTTTATTTTTTGTAATCAAATATATAGGCCATAGTTGATGGCGTGAATAAAGGAAGACGAGGAAAAGGGTCGTTATTCGTCTGGGCGTCAGGAGACGGGGGAGCATTGGATGATTGCAACTGTGATGGATATGCCGCATCGATGTGGACAATCTCAATTAATTCTGCAACAAATGATGGCCAAACTGCTATTTATGATGAATCTTGTGCCTCAACCCTCGCTTCCACATTTTCAAATGGAAAATCAAGGAAAAGGTCGTTTTGAGGTTGCCTACTTGAACACTCCATTGAGTAGCATCTATGTGCTAGGATTTCTCGTAATTTTAACCCATAGAAATCAACTCTTCGGCCTTCAGCTGTCATGCAGAAGTCCTATTTCACCCTTTTTGTACATTTTAAAGTCTTTCGAAGTTTCCATGAGTCCACATACATCATACCATTTCAATCTCATATTCATTCACGAAAGTCCAATGATGCACCATTTTTTTCAGAACACTAATGACTTGAAATCAGATTCCCTAAGAATTCGCGTATTGGATTTTCACGATACAATAGCAATATTTGTTGCATTTTTTCGGAATTGGACACCGCTTAATATTTTATTTTCAGTGAAAACTCATGTCTGATTTATTTAATTTAAAAAATAATAATATTTTTTTGGCTTTTAGCCTGGACGCAGGAGTGGCGACAGTAGATCTCTATGATGAATGCACGCTGTATCACTCAGGAACTTCGGCTGCGGCGCCTGAAGCAGCGGGTGTTCTGGCCCTCACTCTTGAAGCCAATCCAGATCTAACATGGCGAGATGTTCAACATCTAATTGTGCTCACTTCAAAACGGAAATACCTCTACGATCGAGATAGAACTCACAATTGGACTGTTAATGGCGCAGGATTAGAGTTCAATCATCTTTTCGGCTATGGAGTTCTTGATGCCGGTGATATGGTCAGAGCTGCTAAGTTATGGAAAACTGTTCCTGAAAGGTTCCATTGTATTGCTGGAATTTTCCGTGGGCAAAAAGTAATTACGGTTGGGAAACCTATTCAGTTGGAACTTTTCACGGAGTCGTGCCGTGGCAATCCGGATAGTCAAGTTAACTTCATTGAACATGTCCAAGCCTTCATTTCCATCAAGTCTAGTCGAAGAGGTGATCTAGTGATGTTCTTGACGTCACCTATGAATACAACATCCATGATTCTTGGCGCTAGACCGTTGGATTCGGATTCCACCAAAGGTTTCGTTAAATGGCCCTTTATGACAACCCACATGTGGGCCGAAAACCCAAGAGGTACCTGGAAGTTGACAATCGGTTTGGATCCTCAGAAAAGGCGATCTCGTGATGGTCCAGATCCTGCATTAGGACATGCCGTTTTGACCGAATGGATTCTGATGGTGCATGGAACTCAAGCATCACCCTACTCACAAATTCCTGACAGTGCAAGTAAATTAGTACCAAAGTTGGAGGTGGTGAAAAGGCAACAATCCTCTCAACGATTCTCGTACTAATTGCTACCCACTTGGCCGTATTGTTGTCAAGTCCTTGTCGAGTCCTCTTTCTGTGACTTCATATTTTCAGAGTGGTCTATTATTATTTTGAACATTGATTCTTTCTGCTCCCCCCCCCCCCCCCCCCCCCCCCCACTCCCCCCTCAATTGATAGGACATGTGGAGGTTCTTGTTTCTGTTTTTTGATCATTTCGTCTGATAAAAATTTTTGGATGCGGTCATAATTGCTCGTTTTAATTATTGGTTTAATTCTCGATTTGGTATAATATTGATCAAGGTTTAAAAAATCTTTTTTTATGGATTAGAATGAAAGCTGTACTTGCCCACTTCATTCTACTGATAATTCCACCGGCAATTTCTAAAATTGGGTCCTTTCTAACATATTTGTAATATGAACAATTACCATTTAAATATAAACAAAATCAGAATTTAAAGTCGAAAAATAATCAATTACTACAATTACTTCATAGTCATCTACAAAATTTATCTTCAACTAATTAAAATATTCGCGCAATATCTGTCGACATAATTGTTTTAACGACACAGATAAAGAGTTGAAAAAAGGGAATTATTTGCAAAACATCTCTGACATTCATTCAGTTTGTGGATGTGGTATTGGAAACCCAGTGTTTCTATCTTAATTACATCTTGATGCGTCTCTATTAGCCTCCCAAGATAGTCTAGAAAAGTCAAAAAATCAATAATAATAAGTAACTGCCTTAATGGTATGATTTATTCTAAAATCAATCGATATGACAAACCTCAATTTTGAACGTTTCGACAAATATACCAATTTAATGAAAATTCACTATAAATTAGTAATTTCATTAGTCTTGGATAAATATGGAAATTTTCATCTAAAATCTTCCTTAGAAAGCTATATATCCATACGTTTGATTATTGAAAACACTTTGAATCTTTTCGTGACCTTCTGAAGAGTCCTGAATGACGGTGTGGTCGAACTCCGAAGTTACAGAATTTCAAGAAACTTCCGTTTTCAGATAAACCTCCTCTTAATCGGTCTTGAGTTCTGGAAGTAAGGCTGGTCAGGGTGAATAGAGGATTTTGCAGTGGCCAACACAATTTGGAACACCAAAGCGAAAGGTTATCTGGTCTCTAAGCGCTACGAGAGGCTGTCTTTTCTCACTATCAAATAGGAGAAAATTGAGGGGCATTTTTAGTTGCATTAACTCCCGATTCGCTCGGGTTGAGGAGTAGCTGGAGGAGGCTGTCAATGGCAAATTTCATGGGCATAAATTGTTAGTTTGAGAATATATAAGATCTCGGTGAATAGACAATGTAGCCCTGCCTGCATTTGTCACTGAGAGAAGCACGTTAGTAAAACCTCGGGTTCGTTACCGGTGCTAGTCGCTTAGAAAGGCGCACAAAATTTTGCTTCCCTCTAATGCAATCGTACTGACCACGGAATTTTGCAGACTCCATCATTGAGGAAGCAAAATGAAACAAACTTCTCAATAGGCGCATATTTCGCTTGATCGATAATCAGCCAGAGAGAACTTGCGGAAAGGTCGTTACTTGTTACTATTTCAGGTCTAGTAGACTGGTTAGCTGTACACTATCTCTGATTGATATGTGTAATTCCATGCAATCATTGACCACTATGTAAGTTAAATAGAATTACTCGAAAAAGATAATGCAATAGTTGTTTTGGATGTGTTGAAAACATTGGGAGACATTCAAAATCCTTTTTTTGAAAGAAAGAATCAATATTTTGAAGACAATCTCTTTAATATGTTTTTTTAAGAATTGAGCAAGACAATGCTTGATAACTTCTGTCAAACACAATGCAATTGAGCACATTTAGGCAGACATGACAATTTCAAAATAAATTAACAACGAATTGGTTACCAAAATGGTCGTGGATATTTTCCATTTCACATCTTTCAACATAGCATTTTAAACATTTAAATTTCATTCGAAATAATTTGAAAACTTGTCACAATATCGTTTGGGTCAATACACTGGAAAAATTATTTAGATTGAGTATTTGTTTAGAATTTGGGGGCTTCTACGCCTTGAAAAAGACTGTAAGATAAAAGAAATTGATAAAGAAGATTTGCTTAAGTATGATGAAATCAAACAGTGGAGATAAATTATATGGGCTTAGTTATACAAATTACAAGTCTTGGGTGGTGTCAACAAACAACTTTTGAACTCAATAGAGAGATGGAGAGAAGCAACTTGTATAGTATTATATGGTAAATCTTAAAAGATATCTATGAGGCTCAGTTAGATGTATGATACAAGACAAAAAGGCTTGGAGGCCCCAAGTACCACCCCCCCCCCCCCCCCCCATCCTATAAATATGGAGCACGTTATTTTCTGCTCTCATCTAAAATTTCGATTGGTCTATGGAATAAAATATTCAGATAAAGGCGAATGCAGCCTTAACACTTAATGGCGGAAAAATTCGGCATTAGCCAAAAAAATTTATTAGGCAAACTCTAGCCATAAGAAACGACATAGTGCATGTTAAACCACAAAAGACCTTAATGTCAAGAAGAACATGCTACAATTCCATTGATATGAGAAACTGAATTTCCAATGTCGGAGTTAATTTAATACAACTATATAATCTAGTATTTTTGCTTTATCATTGATGCAATATTTAGGTCAAGTTAACAGAGCTTACAAAGAAATTAATAAAGATCTAACGATCTAAAGTTGATCCATTAAATTAACTTTAAACAACAAAAAACTCTCTTGACATTCAAAGTTCTAATCATAATTATAACTTTAAAGTAAAAATTAATATTAAAATGAATAGTAAGCGAATTCTAGATAATATATATATATATATATATATATATATATATATATGGGGCAATTACCTCAGACAAGCATATATGTATTTTGCTGTCACCCATCAAGTTTAAAATAAGATTAAAATATGGTTATTATGATGATTAATCATTTAGCTAGTCTGGTTCGTTTAAGATTGATGATTCAAGGCACTATGAATAATATAATATATCAATTAACCGAAATTACAAATGATTACTCAAAAATGAGCTGTTTAATCGAATAAAGAAAGAATATCGCTGAAATATTCGCTCATGAAATGTCTGGTTTTAATATTAAGACCGTTTTATTTGCCATACTCAATATGTAAATAAAGACTATCACCATTTACGAGTTCATTATTATTTATAAAAGCTCGTCCTTATAAAAATAGAATAAACGAAATTAAAAATTTTTGGTTTCAGCAAAATAAATAAATAAAGTAAAATGTTTGAATTTGAAGATTTTTGACAATTTCGTAAATGTTTATATTTCATTTATGAAGGTTAAAATCCAACGCGTTGCCACAAAATTCCGGTTAGCCTGAATTGGCATTACTATTGGTACAGCCCGTTACATATACGATAAACATTCCCACAATGGTAAGAATGGAAATGTTGTTTGTATATTTAACTTACTTCCATTAAGGATAATTACGGCCAAAATCAGCCAATGTCAGAGTTAGAAATGCTACGCTTGAAGATGAATCAGAGGACAGATGAGGTATGCAAGTTTATCATATACTCATTTTCTACGTTTTAGTCACTTGAGAGCACAAGACGAATGGTTACAATGGCTGAGGAGGTATAAACGAAATTTGTTTTTCATTAATTTAATAATTTCTTTATGTACCTTCTAACTTTTATTAATTCTAAGCTTGATATTATCCCATTATAGAGTCATCAGATGGGAGCTGCTACTTTGGAGACCCTTCATCACCAAGGAGGTAAGTCGTCCTGTAAGTGGTTGTTTGCTTCCTCGTTGGCAATATTTTGTTATTCCTAACGTACCTGAGGTATTTCGTATTACAATGGATCACGTGACTTAGATTATACGAATTAGCACTTATGTGCATTACGCATATATTAATACTCCCTTCACTCAATATTTTTAATAATAATTTCTTTCACCCCTTCACTGACATTTTCTCCTTGTTTTTGAGGGATAATTTTTTATTTAGTTTTGGTGCTAATTTCATCTTTCAGAGTTATAATTAGACTAAAATAAATATTTTGACTATGCATGGTACTAAGTCTTCGGTTTTACTTAATTTGTCTTCTCATCAGAATGCAGGAAATTTGCACTTGTCCGGACTTTCTTCCTGCAACCATTGTTTTATTTGGGAATCAATAAGTTACACATAATTTCGACTTAATTTCCTACTTAGTCTATTGATTGAGCCACACTCAAAGAATTTCAATTTGTTTCAACACGTTGCTCAACACCCTCTAAAATCATATTTCCTTTGATTTTTGTTTCTTTAGGTGCCAATTTCTGTTTACGTGTTCTAAGGTCACTGGATGCGGAGGTTCTTAGAGGTTGGAAGAGCTGGCCAAAGAACTTCACGATGATTAGGGGGTTTGGGTGTGTGCTGGTAATCGGTATGTCAGAATCATGGGCTGCGCAGAATCACGTAATCAGTTAATGAATTGAATGTAATTGGGTAAGAAGTTTCTAGTGGGCAATTTTGTGTATGATGACCACTTGAGTCCAGTGGGGCTTAATTGGATGCTCACTGGTGATATTTTACAAATTGATAGCGTTTCCGATCATGGTCAATTTGCCTGAAATATATAAACTGCGATGCCCAGAAATCCTAGCCTTTCGAATGAATCCATTGTACTCTTTTCTCACCTAACACAGAACAATTGGATCATGTCAATGATCAAATGAACGTTATTCATGAGGATATCAAAAATACTGAGAAGAATTTGGATAATTTGGAAAAGTGTTGTGGAATATTCAAATTGCCTTGGAAAAGGTGAGTTTCTTTTATCTTACCGTTCTAATTGACCAATTTGATTGATTGAATTGAGTGGTAAATGTGTACCTTGTAGGGTCAGTCGCCCTGGGAGCGATAAGCACTTCAAACCCAAAGATTATTCTACTGTGACAGTTCAACCGACTAATGGAACCTATTCTAAGGACTCAAAAAGAGGTGACGTTGCACAGTCACAACCAAGTGGTCCATTCATTACTCGGTTAGTGATCAAATGAAATTCGATTATTATTATTATTATTATCATGTTACTCTGTTAGTATTATTTAATCAGTGATATTAGTTTTGTTATTGATTCGTGCAATGGAAATAGTTAAATATCTGTCGTCCTTTTGATAGACCACTCATTTTCCCTACTCTCCCTAGGAAAATTTTCTTATATTCTTTAAGCTACTCGGAACACTTCGTTTCGCAAATTCTTCAGACGTAATTTATAAACAGGACGAAAAATTATTTTTCAAGTCTGAAATAGTGACTAGAATCTTCCATTTCAACGAAGACATCTTGTCATGCTAATTTTTTTGGCAGTTGACTAATTAATTTTCTTATTTGAGATTGGGAGTTTCGGTCTTTCTGTCAATTGAAAACCCTTTCCTTTTAATATTTATCTTGAGATTTATTTATTTATTTCAAATGGCAGGCGTTTTGATAGCTGCCATTAGGCCTTTAGCTGACTTCAGTTTTCGCAGAAAGGAGGTGGAACATCAAAGTGACAAAAGGTCGAGATTGGGGACAGAAGAGTGATTCACAGGTGTAGAGGAGACAGACATGAAGGTAGAGAAGAAAGTTAGGTAAGGTGGGTACTGTGGAAATGGTCGAATTTTACATACAGTGGAGTCATGGTAGTTTGAAGTCACCTATCGATTTATGGGCATTTTGCCGTATGAGAATACGTTGCCCAGTGGAGGTAAGTCTATCGCGCATCTCGCATTTATCTTAAAGTAACACTTTCTTTTCTGATATTACTGAAGACGTCTGCTGGTTAATCTTCCTTGCATTCAAGGAGGATTGACGGGCTAATGACCTCAAAATTCACAACTGGCCTAAAAAAGTTACAAAAATATTTTTTCCCCTACTAAAAGTAATAGTCCAACCTCTCAAGCAGAGCAGTCTTCAAACATGTCGTACATATTATTTGTACTTCTTTACTTTTTATTTTATTCGACGTCAACCTCTGAATTCTGACAGGATTTGCCAAAGTAAAAAGAAAAGAAGAGGCCCTCGAGGTCATCTCAATAAATTTATCTTCGTGTAGCCCCTAAATACTCCTGAAAGTTGGGCAGTTTTCCAAAATTTGTAAATAAATGCTCGGGTCTAACTCACTCACTCGCTCGCTCTATCGTGCGCCGTAGAATGTTTTTCTTTACAAGCGGGAGTAGTGTTGTAGTTGTCATGGCAAATGTTTTGCTTTTGTACTGCACCTCGATAAATTGGTAGAGGTTTGCGCTCCTTTTGTCTGTCTGTGTTGAACTCGTTGGGCTTTTTAAGGCGGGCTTTTTCAACGTTCATTGAATCGTTGAGGTATTCTAATTTAGCCTCCATGACCCAGAACTCGAATTCAAGTGGCAGTTCACTGTGCTAATTTGCAAGTTATCTTTCTCCCCTAATTACTCCTATCATCGCAATGAATTAAGTTAGGTCATGTTTGGGTTTGTGGTGGTCGGATTAGCCATCGTCGATGACACCTTTAATGTAACACTTAATTCCTCATTTAAGTCGAAATGTAGACCAATGATGTCTTAACATTTTGGGAAGATTTTCAGGGTTCTTCTCAACCTCAAATGCTCCGCCACAAACATCACATATTAACTAGAAGTCAACGCTAGAATTAAGGTGTTTAGATAAACCCCAACGATTGTTCAGCATTATTTTTTCCACTACTCTTGTTTCAAGTGTAGCAATGGCATTCCTGAGAAACGTCTACGGCTTCTCTCTCTCCCCCTTAACCTGCTTTAACCAGTTTAGTTTGCCACGTCATTTACTTAGTGTGCTCTCTGTTTATTCTGGGAATGGAATATACATATGAGAAGAACATGCAAGCAAGCGTTTTCAGTAAATTTTGAATTTTTTTGCACGCCAACTCTTGGCTGCAGTTTCTTATACTCCCTCAGAGTACTCCTGTCAATTGTTCCTGAAAGTTCTCGTCCGCGTCATCACTGAACTCGAACAGCCGGTTTTCTGCGTTTGAGGATAAATTCGGCTGTCACGTATTAACCAAGATGAGTGGGTCACTTTTTCGAAGTCAAATGTCATGATTCTGCCTTTGGATTGTAGTGAATACCCCCTTTACCATCTGAAATGGAAGCTTAGGTAACGGAAGATAGAGCTACTTGTTAGTGCAGTTCTCTGGTATGACTTCTTTGCACAAAATCAGTATTTAAAGGATACTTCTATTTTTATTTTTTTACTCGAAATGACTTTGTACCCCATCTCAATGAGTTTGAACGAATGCAATATGCCTCCTTATAGTCAAATAACAGGGGTGTGCCATAGACTTACCTCCACGTGGTCCACTCTGGGCAGCGTACACTCATACGGCATAATAAATTCTATATTCTGACTCAAACTACCATGATCGCACTGTATGTGGTCATATTCGACCACTTCTACAGTACTGATCTTGCCCTTTCTCCTCTTTTGCGTCTGTTTGTCTCTTTTACATCTACAAATCACTCTTCTGTCCCACCTCTCCCTCTCAACTTGTTGTGACTTTGATATTCCTCCTCCTCTCTGTGAAGCCCGAAATCAGCTGAAGGGCTAATGCTAACTATCAAGAAAGCCTGCCATTTGATGAAATGAATTATATTCAAATAACAGAGCCACCCAGTCCCCAGCATTTCGAGATGATTGCTTTGCTTTAAGTATTTCTCAAGGATAGAATACTATCGATTGTGCTTGAGTGAAGATGGCTATGAAGCCGTGTCTGCGAAATTAAGACTCCAATAGGGACACGATTGCTTGGCAAAACATCTTCACAGATTGGGAGTATACACTCAACCCACATGCCCTCTATGTAACCTACAGGAGGAAATGGAGAAGACCCACCTGATTCGATGTCCAGCCCTAAAAACAACGACGGAAAGCCAGAGATACTGGGAAGCAAGAAGACGGCTAATTAGCTGCTATAATGTACCCCCCCCCCCACCCTTGGGGGAAGCTGAAGTCAAAGTTTAAGGGCTAATGATGAATATCACAAAGCCTGCCATATGAAATAATAATAAGATTCCAATATTTTTTATTCTTATTGATTTAAACTTAAAAGTGATTAGAATTATGAATGGGTGGGCCTTAGAGATGGATTGAGGGAGTTTGCGAATATTACGTCACTCAGTTATAATCATGTGTGGGAAGGGGTGGTAGTTTCGGGCCATAATTCACTAACTCCCACTCTTTGATGTCATACCGTTTGTTTGCTGGTGAATAATGTTTTTTTTGGGATGATAAATTCTGTTATGATAAAAAGGCGTACCTTGCAGGAAAATTTTAACCGTGAAACACTCAACTAAATCTCACGGTGACGGTGCGGTCACATTTCACAGAATTTTTGCGCATGAGATCTGCTTTTACAGATCAATGCGCCGATCGGTGCCTAATGTTCATTGAAAGGGACGCGTTTAAAGATCTTAATGTTAATGAGAATATCAATAATTTATTTATATCCAAGAGCGGCTTTGTGGTAGTTATCATTAGTCCATTAATTGACTTCTGGCTATTAATGTACATTGGATATACAACGACGTTTAACTGTATACTTTGGAGAGATGTGTGTAACTCTTCCAAGAGAACCACTTACAGGGGCTGTAAAGCAGAGTTAAGATGTGGGTCTTGAAATAGGAGATCCAAATAGCTCCGTCTGAGGTTAGGTCCACTTTATCTATATATTTAAACTTCACTCAATTAAATGTTCTCCTTTTTTTCTTCGAAAACATTTGAAGTTTCGCTTTCAAGCTAAATTGGTAGAGGCTTAAGTACACCTTTTTTTTACGGGAAGTGGAGATTCGCACTTTCTTTATCACATCCGTTTTTTTTATTCTCCCAATTCTCCTCCTAAGTGCGTGAAAGATCGCGCCTACTTGCTTTAATCTGTCATTAAGGGGGGAAAGCTATTTATAGCAGTTTATTACTTTGCATAAGGTGGCAGCTATTGAACTTGGCGGGCGGTACGCATATTGTCCGTTTTTCGGTGAATGTGGGGGGAGGGGGGACTGGCTCTACTCCGCCCCAAGGCACATTAAATTACCAGAATGCTGTTCCCTTTGCACATTCAAAATCCTCAAAAAAAAATTGGTATCCTATCATAGAAGTGTTGTTTGGGCGTATTGTTCCAAGCGTGTAGATTCATAAATGTATTTCAAACTTTGAGATTTTCAGAATGGATATGCGTGAAGTAATGGCTAAGAAATTATTGCTTAATTTAATAGTTTTAATTTATGCACTATTGGCGTTATCATTCACGCTCATATTTCTGAGGTCAGTGATCTCGTGGTCGAAGCATCTTTTTGAGTGCATATCCACTCCATGGTGTGATCTTTCGCCGAGGGGTTACGGGATCGATTCCTATTGATTCACAACCAGTGATTTGAGTGACCAACCGCCGTAGTTACTTCTAATTAGCAGGAGAGAAATGGTAGACTGCAGGTTTCTCGAATGGGTGGCTTTTGAATGTCTTTCTATGTTAATCTTAAGGGAAATTTTGATATCATTGTGAAGCTAGCATTAAGTGAGCTTTGATTGGACCAGTTTCAAATATTCGGTCGAATATGCGCAGAAATGATCGTTTTCTATCCCCAGTTATTATATCGATGCGTCTATGAATTTTATCTACTCTCTTCTAGAATTTTGGATGATGATCGTGAAGACGAGATGGAACAAAATTTGGGCCATGTCTCAAATATTGTTGGTGAATTGAAAGCCATGGCGACGGATATGAATTCGGAAATTAAAACACACAATGCCAAATTGGAATCAATGGCCAATAAGGTTTTTTTTCAATATATATTCAAATGCATCCATATTTTCTTGTGTGTGTTTATTTTACCCACTTTTTCTTCCTCTCATAGACTGTCGATAACCAAGCGAGATTGGAAGCTGCTCAAATGCAGGCAACTCGAATTGTTGGGTATGTAGATTTGTTTGCCACTTATTGACTCATTTAAGTAGGATCTTCGAAGTGTAATGAAAGTGATTTTGCTTTTAGAAAACCTGCCAAACCAAACGATCCACTTATACCTCAACCCGGTTTAGGCATGGTTGCCAAGACAATGGCCAATCAAGCAATGAAATGAAGAGACCTTTTTCTTGGTTTTTGGAACCCCCCCCCCTCCCCCTCCTCCACCCCATCCGCCCAAAAGCGCTAATTTATACACCACACTTCATTCAGAAACTGCTTTGCATCCAACAATCCGTCCACATTTACAATTAAACACAATTTTTCACCTTGATAAAACTTGTGATAAGCTTAAACCTGTTTTCATCATTTTTTAATTAAATAAATCGTTTTCTGGTTGACATCTTACTTATTAC